CATGAGTCTTCTTTATCTCAACTATCAGATCTAAAGTAAATTTTTTAAAATGTTTTTTCATTTATAAAAGCAGCCATGGCGCAGTGGTAGCGCACTTGTCTCAGAAACGTAAAATCCGTGGTTCAAACCCACCTCAGGCGACATCGGTTGGGAAGGAGGCGTGAATTTCCAATCATATGCTCTACCGTGGTGTTTTGTGATAAGACCGTAAGGACTTGGAGCACCTAAATCAACATTAAAAAAAAGTTTTTAAAATGTAATTAACATATCTATTCTACCAACCATCAATACTACAATCAACCATCAATATTACTACCAACCATCAATACTACTAGCAACCACTAATATTACTACCAACTATCAATACTACAACCAACCATTAATACTATTACCAATCCAACCGGCACATCTAGTTTCTTTTTTGGAATTAAAATCTGTATAGACACGTGTTTGTCACAATCCAGGCGTAACCCAAAACAGCGTGTATATTACGGGCATTTTTACTCGAGTTTTACACGTGCTTTTTGAGAAATTTAAATGTCACATGTTTTTATCAGTAATTTCACATTTCTTAATGTAATATAGTACTACGTTTCCGTAACGGTGAAACCATTAGTTTTTTAACTGGCATTTATGATAAATAGTAATAGTTAACTTCACGATTCTTCGCACGTGTTATTCTTTTTGTTTTAGGTTTACGTGTTATTCTTTTTGTTTGAAGGTTTTAAACACGCAAAAGAAACCAAGTGTAACTTCAGAGTTGTGTAGGCTGGGAACCATCAATATTAATACCAGCAATCAATAATATTATCAACCATCAATACTTCTACCAACAACTAATACTACTTCTAACCATAAAAACAACTCACGACGTTAGAATTATCTTGTTCTATCTAAAAAAATTGCAATGTTGATGTTTTGATGCCTATCGGCAATCTGAGAGTAATAAATCAGATATAGCTGGTGATATTATTAAGAAAAATCTTCTGATATTGAAAAAAGTTCACAGATGTTCAGAAAAAAAACCTATTTTGATTTCCTAAAGACGTGACTCGGCTCTTAATTTATATTTGCTTACTACGTAGAACATGAAAAATTGAAAAGCTGCTCTCCGTAAATGGCTTGTTTGGAGCAAAATAAAACAGTAATTATTTTGCTAGCCAAACGATATGGAAAAACTGAATGACGAAATTCAAGAGCACCAAAACAACAGCAACCATAAAAACTGTTATATTGAAAGACGAAACTTAAACAAAATCTTAATTCTAATTTTACTGTCAATATTATGCTGTTGCAGACCATCAGGAATCAATTCTTGCTCTGAAAACAGGTTCATTACAAAATTTTAGATAAGGCGTTGTTTGTGCCTTAATTGGCGTTCCAGCAAATAGCAATTTTTTAGAAGTTTTGGAATTATTATTCTATTATGATTCTGTCCTCAAAGGATTTGGATAAACTAATAAAGGCGCAAAAATCGAATATAAGACTGCAAGTAAATTACCTTTAATCAGAAAATTCAAAATGAGTTTACAAAGTTTTGTGCTAAAAAGTATCCGATGATATATTCTAAGTGAAAAATAAGTAAGTAAAATACTATTCTAATATATAAAACAAACTGTATTTATATTGCGTTATTTTTATTCAAATGAAAAATTAAAAAAAGTTCAGAAACGCAGTTATACAAACCAGATATGCAACTTTAGATGTTGAGATTAATAATTTAAAAAGCCTATAATACTGATAACCTTATATTATTAAGAAACCGTTGAAATTCAACTTTAAATGAATGTAAAATAGTTGTTGAAAACCTGGGTATGGTTTCCAAGACATATTCTCGGAAAAAATACGCAAACGGAAAGCTAGGTTTGCAGATGAAGCGTAGAGTAATAAGTTAGACAACACCAGTGCAAAACATTGCTTCAAGAGTAATGTTTTTTATGTTCTTTTGGACTGTGTCATTGAAAACATGAATCAGCGTTTTGAGGTAACCAAGGATCCTGACGCGACGTTTGGTGTTTTATGGAAGACATGACATTAGATAGAGAGCGGGTTCGTAAAAAAGTGGATTTAGTTTTTGTATAAAAGTAAGTTAAGTCTAAATTAAGTCCTTTTTTCTATAATCTATAGATGTTAATGGTTCACTAGTTAACACTCATAAAGTTAAAAGAAGCTATTAAAAAAAGTTGTTGAAACTGAGAGTAATACATTATTATTTACATTTGATATATAGCCTGTAAATAACTTGTTGTATAAGCCAAACTTTTAAAGGTTTTGCAAAAAATTACGTTGATGGAAGCTTGGGAACTACAATACCCAAAAAGTCCACCCCTCACCCCATGGAAATATTCTTTTTAATATATTATATTAAATTAGATTTTATCGATAAGTTTTCAATTTCAATAGAATTTTAAGGTTCGAAGTTACCACCGTTTCAAGTTTCTACTGTTCTCAACGTGAGGCGGTTGTAAATTTTTAATTTAAAAAGTTTTATGTAATGAGAAAAATGACTAATGATTTAACTTACAAACTATTATTTTCGAAATTTTAATATTTGCTTCATACGTGATTCTATATAACATATTATTACCTTTTTTTCTTAGGAAACCGTATTTTTTATTAGGGAGCCTTTAAATGTTTAAAAGTTTTGATCAACTTTTAAAATATTGTCCCTGTTTCAAGATCCCTAGTTAATGGTTTCAGGAGGATCAAAAGTAATCCGATAATGTCTAGACTTTGAGGTTGTAAGGTTAAGATTCACGGAATCCAGAAATCCCAAGATGCTGAAGTTTTAAACAATCCTAGAACACTGTACTTGAGCACTTCCCAACTAGCATACTATGTTGGACTAGCATACTACGTTTAAACAACCTCGGAATCGTTGGGTCAACGTTGACTCAACGTAGTGCGTGGTTTGGTTTTTCCTTCTTTACTATAATGACATTTACAGCCTAAAATGAAATGTTTATAGCTGTAAAAAAAAATCCGAAAATTAAAAAAAAAGTTTCAATTTTATTCGATTTTACATTTTTAAATTTATATTAAATTTAGATTGGACTACTTTTAAATTGTAAATCCATTTAATTTTTTTTTTCGTTTAGTTAAAATCTAATTTTTATTTTCAAATTTAAAATTCTTCCAATTTTATTTTCCAGTATTGTAATTTACAATAACACTTTTGAAATTTGTTGGCGCTCAATCGCATTCCTGATTCTTATATACTTGATTTTACTTTTTATATCAAATAAGAGTTATTTGTTTGTGACTATATTATATGCGGGTTACATTTTCGGGTTATTTAAACAGTCCATTCTCTTAAATTAAAATGGCTTCTTGCTTAGTATATGAAAAAATATATATACAAATTTCACTGTTTGGAAACTTCTTCTAATAAATTTATTAGAAGGAGTTTCCAAACAGTGAAATTTGTATACATATTTTTTTCTTTTAAAAGAAAAAAGACAAACAGCGACGTGTAAGTGTATTGCAAAAAGATGTGTAAGTAGATTACAAAAAGATTTCAAAAATTGAAATCTTTTTGTAAAAAACCTTAAAAGATCTCCATACTTTTTTTGCCTTTAAAATTACCTTCAGAACAACTACTACTTAAACAAACACACGAGATAACAAAAATAGCATTAACCAATAACAAAAAAAAGCATTAACTAATTGTTTTGTTGATTTGCGAAAAGCCTTTTTAGTATTTTGGCTGACGGAGCGAACGTGATGAATAAAGTTTGAAAAATATTACATGTAAACCAACAGTAATGTTTTTTCCATGGTTCGCTATTGGCCGTTATTAAATTACTGTATTAAAAATAGGGTATAAAGAAAATCAGCAATTCAACGAAAGCAAAAAATCGGACATAGAACAGGATTTAAATAAAAAAAGGCATACAAAAAGTCTACGTAATGAGTCTTTGGCTTTATTTAATAATGAAATCAAAACTGTATTTGTTATCTTAAATAAAAACCGTTTGTTGGCGGGAAGCGAAATTGTTCACAGCTGATATTATCATAGTTTTTCGTCTCTCGTACTTTAAGTTTGAAAGTGGGACCTTCAATATTTGTCATATTTTTCTGAAATGAAAATTGTGGGAAAATAAAATAATGTATTATAACAATTATTTCACAAAAAATATAAGAAATAAGAAATTTTAAAAAGGTACTTCAAATAATATTAACCTAAAGTCTGCACTAAGTCACCTGTAAACCTCTATAACAACTACAATATTTTAACCAATTCCATCAAAATATTTCAAAAACATCTTAACTGTTAAATCTCATTCCCAAAAATTTCTCAAATACTAAGGAATTATTTATCACAATTAGTTAAGATCCTCAATCAAACATTCTTTTATCCAGGAACTTCTTTTATTATTTTTCTTACAGATTATTTATTAATATTTGACCATTTATTAATGACATTATTAATAATGACCAATATTTCAAAATTCGTTTTTCACGAAACCCTCTGATAAATGTATAATATAAAAAGTTTTAAATTTTCTTTATCTGGTCCTGATATTATTAGGATTTACTAAGAACCCCTCTGCCCACTTTTTTTTTTTAATTTTCTGAAAGTTAGATAAGTTTGTTTTAAAAAAAAAAACGAAATTTTTCAAAACCATTTGATTACAAAGCAAAGCACTATTATATGATATAAATATTGGCAATTTATTAAAAACTGGTTGTCCCCGCCTTCGGTGAGATAAAAATCCATTGATCTAACAGTAGATACTAATACTTTTCTTTCTTAGCAATACTTTTCAATTAATGAACTGTTTTGTTTTATTATTTACATTGTTTTCCTATGCAGTTTTTATTTAATTAAATAAAACTTGATAAGCATAATTTTATAAATATTGCCTGGCGACAGAAGTGAAAAGTTTTTTTTTTAAGATACCAAAACGCAAGCAAAAAATAAATAAGAAAAATAAATTAATACTAAAAAAACGTTTCTACTAGTAGACGAATAAAGAGTTTTAATTCCGTCAGATTTGACGAAGTCTGACGTAAATGCTGTAACTAACTTACATATATAACTTTTAAACGGTGTTATAATATTCGGCCATGTAAACAAAGCAAATTTCGAAATTAAGATAATACGTATTTTTCAAGCACAAATAGTTTATAATAGCTTATTAATAAGGTTAGTAATTTATTTTATATTCAAAGCTATCTATATTCTTACCTAAATAGTTAACATATTTAAATGTTTCGGAACTACAAATATAATTTAACCGAAATTTACTTTTTATTAATTATCTAAATTTTAGTTGATAATAAAGATGATAATTAGAGTTGATAACATAAAGCTTAAGAGATTAAATATTAAGATAATAGTCATTCTAAATAACTAAATTTTAACAAATAATTTTTCTAATAAAAGTTGAGTATGGTATAATTTATAATTAGAATTTTTACAGTTTAATACAATATTACAACATAAAATATTTAAATTGAATGTTTATTACACAACTTATATTCGAGAAAACCTTAACATAGTTACTGGATATACCATTCGATCGAATTATCAAAATAACAGTTTTATAATTTAATGTTAAAAATTACCATTAAGTTATGACAAGTCTTAAAACCAAAGTTTTCATATTGGTCACCAAAACTTTTAAATAAAGAGGGCCATGCACAAAGAAAAAATAATAATACATAAAATAATCATTAAAAGTGAATTAATAATTTAAAAAGTAATTAGTTTGAGTGAAGCAACTAATAAACAGAGAATTCGGTTACTAGCCACTTAGTAAGCATTAATTATTGTCTTTATTTTACTTACTGTATCATTATTTTTGCCTGTAAATAAATTTGATTGTTTACACAATGCTTACTCAATGCCAAGATGGGAGTAATCATTATTTAACAGCTACAACAGTATATTTACCAGAAATATAGATATAGTTCATAGATTATGTCTAAAAAAATAAAATTTTTAAGTACTCTACATACTGATTGGTTCACTCTTATAACAGAGCTAAATCTAAAAATTAAAATTTAATTGGGTTTGAAAGTAAAAAATTTATCTAAGAAGAAAGTTTACTGGTTAAAGTTTAGCATGTTTTTGAGCATAATCATTAAAGGTTTATGATGTGCTTTATAAAAAGTATTTGCATATTCAAGGATACTAATATTTATTTAACACGCAAAGGTTATAAAATTTTTAAAAGTTTCTAGATTTGACAAGTAAAAGTGTTGACTAGAAAAGTGTTGATAAAAAGTTGTTATATTATAAATGTTCTGTGATTATATCTTTGATTATTTTCTCAAGAGTTTTGTATGTAGCAGAGTTGAGAGAAACTAAGTAATAATGTGATGTATCTGTTTGCAATCTCTTTCATACTTTGAAGCTATATTTGTTTTTAACCAAGGATTTGGTAATTTAGATCAATCAATTGAAATATGAGTTGTAATAGTTTAGCTAGTAATTATGTATATTTTTGTAGAACTAATTGACTTGTGCATTCAGTAACTAATAAATTATGTGAATCTAATTTAACTCATTGTATTTAATATTGTACTAGAGATTTACTATCTGATTCAACAATTATTTTATAGGTTTTAAGGCTGCATATTGTGAATTTCATAGATCATTTTTTTAATTTTATAAATTACGCTACACTAATATTTTTTAAAAAATGCTAATTTTTTTTGATGAAAAAAGAGATCCCTTTATCATTTTTTTTTTAATGTTAATAATTTTGTTATTATTGTTATTAACAATTTTTTTATTTCGTAGAGTTATATTAATAATTTTATTTAGAGTATGATTTAGAGATTTTTTTAGAGTATGATTTAGAGATTTACTTAGAGTTGGGAAAAAGTAAACTAAGTGTAATTTTATTAATTTATTTATTAGGAATTAATTTTTTAAATTATTAACAACTAATTAGGGTTTTAAGTTAGTGTATGTATTAATAATTAATAATATAATGTATCAATAACTAATTAGGGTATTAGTTATGCTTGTGAGAATCCTGAAATTATGCAAAAATTAGCAAATATATTAATATAAAATAAATGTATACCAAGATTATGTAATCACTAATTATATCATAAATTTGATACTTTACATACTTCAGAAGTGAAACTCAAAATAAAATATAATATGTAGTATAGCAACTGAAAATATTTTTTAAAAAATAAAAAAAAACCAAGAATATTTTTTGTTGAAAGAATGGTATTTTTAATAGATTGTTTGAAAAAGAAATGGGTCGATTTAGATGGAAAAAAAAAATTAGGCTGTACTTTTTCATTTAGAGAAAAGTTTCGCAATGAGATATACAAAATTGACCTTGTTTATTATTGCAAAAAGGTTTTTCTAAAATGCTATTATTATGTCGGTTATACTTGTTTTGGGATTTAATTTTTTAAAGGTTTACAAATACATCAGGGGACATAAGTTCTTTACATTTGCAGAGAAAGTAAAGTCAATAATTCAATAGCTACTAAGTTTACCTTGAAAGTTTAAATGTGTATGGTTAAATATGGTCTTTGTCCTTAATGATAAAAAAAGTTAAAAAATAATTACTAGAATATAAACCTGAAGTTATTGATTTAACTGAAACACATATGACTGACATACTTTGATAGTTAAATAAAATTTGAGCATTACACATCCAGAAGTGTATTATGTTCTAGTATGCATACTGGGGGATGTACATTTTGATCAGAGAAGGTATTAAAATTTTGGACATTAATCAAATTGTGGTAGAAATGAAGTGGTGGATTATAAGTGTTTTACTTTGAGTTATTAATTAAATTATATCTGTAAGTTGTGTATATGTATTACCTTCAAAAAATAACCAGACTGAATTTATAAACTTTTATGAAAATTTGATCAACATGATTGAAAATAAGTACAAAAATATCATAGTTATGCATGATATTAACTTGAGTTTTGATCCATTTAAAAATCTAAACAGCTTACCTTATTCTAAAAGTTTCCTTGAAGTGATAAGAAAATCAAGCAAAAAAGAACTAGCTATGAAATTATTATAAATTAACATAAATTATACTTATAAGAATTACTCCAACTTATAGTACAGTAATTGACTTGTTTTTAAGTAATTTACCTCTTGAAATTGTTGAAATGAATCTCATAAATTTTCAGACCAAGAAATGGTGTACTCTAAGTACCAATACAAAGTAAAAAAGTGTTCCCATTTAAAGAATAACCTTAGTTTTAAAATTAAATCAAGAGTTGGTAGTCAAGCTTGTAAAAAAAAAGAAAATGAATTCATGAAACTAAATATTGATAAAATGGCAATTCATTAATAGTATTCAAGAAACCATATAAATAATTCAAACAAGAACTGTTTGAAATAGCAAAAGAAATTTCTACTACAAATAGATGAGTGATCCAAAGTTGGTGACCGCAACTTATCTCCCAGAGCAAATTTAAAACAATCAGAAAACATAAAGTGAACAAATAATTGCCTCAAACAATAGAGAGTTTATAAAAAATGGAAAAAATCTACCTTTTAAGAATATTGAAAGTATTACAAAACTAAAATTGATATGTTTAAAGATAACAGTGTTGCTATGTGGAAGATTTTAAAACTCTTACTGAAACTAAAGGTCAATTTAATATATGGCAAGATATCTTATTCAATGACTTAAATGAAAAATTGATGGCTCATTAATTTAATGTATTTCTCATTCAGAGCATTCTAGATATTGTAAAATTGATAATAAAATTGAACAACTATGTGGCTGTTGCTCACATAAAAACATCACAGCATGATAGTGGAATGAATGAATTTAAAGAAATTTCTGAATATCAACTTGACAAAATAGTAATTGACTTTAATGATAAAAAAATGTAAATGTGAAGATATGAATGTACCAATAAAAAAAAGGTGTATTGAGTCATTTGTTTAAACTTGCTGAGAATAATTAATCTATCTTTAAAAACAGGTTTTGTACCTAAAACTTGGAAAATATCAACTATAACGCTCATACAGAAAGTAACATCACCCAACTTACCACAAGAGATGAGACCACTAAATTTCTTAGCAGTATATGAAAAAATTCTTAAATTATGTGCACACATAGAATTGTCTACTTATTTTGAAGAAAATGTGCTGTTTAATAAAAATCAGTTAATTTTAAAAAAAATAACTCTACCTAAAGAGCAGTTACTTATTTTGAAATGGAGGGCAGCAATTGATAGTGATATGTTCATCATTACAGTTATGGTAGACTTGAATTGAGTATTTGATACAATTAATAGAAAAATATTATTTATTAATTGAAAAATATTATAATCCATTGAAGTACTCCTTCCTTGTAGCACTTTAATTTTAATAGGAAGAACTCAAAGATTTAAGAATTAGTTATCAGTTATCATCTGAACTGTGAGGAAAGTGTGCCCCAGAGATCAGTATTAGGATACCTATTATTTATAATATACATGAATGATGTTGACAGTATACCAAATATGTAAACATTAATCTCTTGAATCTCTGCAGATGACACATTTGTCTACATTGAAGGTAAAAATCAATAATAAAGTTAAATGATAAATTGGAATTTTAATAACGTAGATAAGAAATTTATTTTTTTTATTTACAAAAAAATTAGTTACAAGTTGCTAGGTAAAATATTTAATATCACTGAAAAATATCCTAACATAAAGGTCAAGCTTGAAAATGCAGTAGTTAAATTCAGTGAATATGTAAAATACCTGGGTATTAAAATTGACTGGAAATTTTATTTTTCTGAACATATAAGGTATAAATTGTTAAGATGACTGGTTATCTTATGAGAATTGCCAGTTATATAACTTGGTGGACTAAAAAAATAATTTTTAGTACAACTATAACACCTTATTTTGAATATTGTGCTTCATTTTTTGATAAAACTGATATTCAAATGTTACAAAAGTTACAAAACAAAGCTATGAGAACAAACTTGAAATGTGACTGGTTCACACATAGTAATGATATGTTGACTGAATTATACTGACTATCTGCAAAAAAAAGTATTCAAATGAAAGTTTTTACATTTATACACATTACTATTCAACTACAGAAAATGATGGTGTTTCAAGGATTTTGCATAAAAAATAACGAATTTACTCAATTAATTTACAAAAAATGAAAATAATTTTAACTTTAAATAACCAGAACAAGAAAAGCAGAGAAAATTTTATCTTTTGCAATGGGATAAAGTTATACAATATATTGCCAGATGAATTTAAATGTTTGCGTGACAGGAGGGGATCGACAATAATCAAGTCGTGAAGCTTTTAAAAGAAAAGGGATGTCTATAAAAAAGACATGAAGTCTCAAACTCATGAAAGACATGACATATTTTTTTCACTGTTTCTTTGCACTGATTTTAAAAAGCAGTAAACATGCTAATCATAATAATAATAGTTATGAAAATTGAGCTAAATGAATTAAAAATATAATTAAAAGTAACTTTATTAGAAATTAAATTTAAAGTTTAAAAAAAATAAAGTAAAAGTTTTACACAAATTTAATTAATTAAAGTTAGTTAAATAAATTTGAGTTATTTTAAATTGTCAGAAATCTGTGATCTGGTCTGCGAAATTTTTCCATGTGTGTTTTAAATAAATATGGTTGACAAACCCAAGATTTGCAAATAGTAGCTTAATATAAGTACCACATGTTGTTTTAATTTAGCAGTTGTTCTTTCCAAACTCTGCACTTTTTAAGTTTCATTGGAAGCTTTGCTGAAGGCAATTTTATGTTTCTTCAATTGCTTTGATTTTTTGACTTAAAGAAAAATCAGAAAATGTTTTAAAGTTTAGCAATGTTTGTCATCATCATCATCATCATCATCATCATCATCATCATCATCATCATCATCATCATCATCATCATCATCATCATCATCATCATCATCATCACCATCATCATCATCATCATCATCATTTTTCTTTCTGGTACAAAAGTGACAATGTTTTCAGTGTACATTATGACTTTAAAATACTTGATGCTATATCATGAAAAGTATTAGAGACACACATAGATTGGCCTCCTTAGTCACTGGATTGTAATTTGGTTGAGTTTTTATTAGATGAGCTAGACAGAAATGTTTGAAAAATGCAACCAGCCAATCAAGAACATCTCTTAGAATACTTGTAAAGTTTTACCATTTATATTAAAGTTATTAGAGAAAAGAATGCAGAGGTTTGTAAAGCAGTTTGAAAGCTAAAAGGGAGTACTTTGAAGAATCCAAAATTAAAAAATTTTAATCAAAATTTTTAATTTTCATTATTATTTTTATTATTTGTGTTACAAAATAAATCTTATACTTTCAAAAGTATTTAAAAAAAAATTATAGTATTAATACTCTTTAATTTTTAAATTTGTATTAAAAGATAATTGAAAGCTATTGTCTGTTAACATATATATATATATATATATATATATATATATATATATATATATATATATATATATATATATATATATATATATATATATATATATATATATATATATATATATGTATGTATATATATACTATAGCATATTTATATGCGCAATTGCTCACTTTTTTTGCTCATCTAAATCAATATAGATTTTTGAGAAAAAGAAGAAAACAAAGAATAATGAATGAAAAGGTTGCTGACCCATCCCAAACCCTTAGGCTATGTAGCAGCATTCCACTGCAAGTCAGGCTATTTGTTAGTCGACGTGTGTACTGAAGCCCCCGACAGCAGGCTATTTCAGTATGATGTCATCACCTAACTCAGTAGTATAAGATATGTATATATATATATATATATATATATATATATATATACATATATATATATATATATATATATATATATATATATATATATATATATATATATATATATATATATATATATATATACATACACACAGTCACTATAAAGTGTTTAGATAACAAATTGTTCCTTGTTTTTCCTACCTTTAAAAGAAAAAAATAAAGAATACTGAAAAGAGATTGCTTCCCCATGCCAAATCCTCAGTCAATGTAGCAGCACTCCCTTGCGGCAGCAGGCTATAAGGTAGTTGATCCATGTACTGAAGCCCTTGGCAACAGGCTATTTCAGTGTGATGTAGGAGGTTTTATCTAAGCACGCATTCATAGTTATATTTAACCCAGCTAAAAATATTTACCCGGGTAATGGGTAATTTTAAGTTTAACAGGGTAACACCCAGATAATTTTATCAATTGGATGTAACAGCAGCTATGATTAGGTTTGGACAGGAATGGCGTATGATTGCATGCTGTAACTGACTATGCTTATAATTTTTTTTTCTTTACATTTTGATCACAACTATTTTGATGTTTTAACAATTTAAATGCAATAAAAGTAAATTGTTGCACAATGAATAACTTTTAATTGTTGATCTTTTATAAAAGTTGTATTTTACGCGAAGGCTATAAATAAAATTAAAAAAATAATTATAATTATTGTTTAAAATAAATGCATTTTGTGTAAATTAACAAAAAATGTTAAATTTAATTTTTTTTTTTGTAGACGTATTTTTTATGGTAAATTTAAACATTTGAAACTATTTTTCTATGTCTTCCTAAAAATCTTTTAAAATGCTATTTTTTTAAGTTATAAATAAGTTAAATTAAATCTTCCTGTTGCAATGGAATAATTTAATTGCTTTATTTTTTTTATTTTTTTACAATGAATTATTGAAAACCTTTTTTTTTTAACTTGACTTATCAAATCATGTAATGATTAAAGATTACTATTTTAAAAAGACAATATTATTTTTTTAAACAATTTTTTTAGCAATTTAAAAAAAAAAATGTTTATACAGTTTAAAAATAATATATATAACACTTTTTACCAATTTAAATAAAAAAATTTTACTCAACCATTAGAGGTAATTTGTAAAAGCATTTTGCGTAACTTGAATAAAACGTTTCAAAAGATATGTTTTAAAGTAATTTTTTCAAATGCAATAAAAAGCGCAATAAAAAGCAATTTTTGCTTTGAGTTTGAGTTTTTAAGGGGTTTTTTTAGTGCTTTTTTGTAAGGAATTGTTTTTTTTTTAATTTTTTTTTTAATTTTTTTCCTAGTTTAATTTTAAGCATTTCTTTTGGTCAAGTTGTCAAAAAAAAAATATTTGCGCGGTCAGCAATAGCGCTTGATTGCATGCCATTCCTGTTCAAGCCTGATGATATACTATTAAATAACCTATATGGTGTAAATTTTATCAATTTCTATTTAAAAAAGAACAAGTTTTTAAAAAAGTAAAATGAAAAAGTTGTACAACTTTTATCTTCAAACTACATTCTTCTAATAAGTTTTTGTAGAACTGGTACATTAAAATCAAAGCATCATGGGTATTATCTCCTAATCTATTTCTTATTTTCATGTCAAACAATTCCATGGTTGAAAAATCTCGTTGTGGCTCCACTAATGTTGGTTTAATTGTTAAAAAAGCTTTAAAAAGTTTTTCAAGATTTTTAGGTCTTGCACAGGATGGCTTCAAATAAAGTCATCTTTTTTCAAAATCTTAGATGCAATCTCATCTATGGTGACAGCTTCGTGACCTGTTTGTTGAATAAATGAAGCAAGTTCAGCTGATAGAGATTTTTTTTCATTGATTTTTAATGTTTGATTTGATGTACACTTAACTTCAAAACCAATTAGTAGCTCTTTACATGCTTTTTTGGATAAAGTTTGTTCAAAAGTGAAGTTACCAGAGATGTTATTTTACATTTTTTTATTTTTAGTCCAAACTGATCCTTTTGATTCTAAAAAATGCCAGGAGATTTTAAATATTGTATTAAGTGCACAAGGTTTACAGCAGCCATGTGGCAGTGGTAGCGCATTTGCCTCAGAAATAAAGAATTTGCAATTCAAACCCCACCTCTGGGCAAGTTTTGCGACATTAATTAGGTAGGAGGCATAAACTTCTTGTTAAATGCTCATATGTGGTGCTCAGCTTCTTAGCAGCAAATTTAACAAGGCTAAATGATGGGCAATCAAGGCTTATTGATGTCGCTTGCATCTCTTAGCAGCAAATTCAATAACTTTTTCAGCAAGTAAAAGATCAGCATCTTCCTTGCATAAATATTGCTGAAATATTCCATCTCAATATTATTTTATATATTTTAATATATTCAATCATCTCAATTGGAGCAAGAGCATGGCATAATTCTTTAAAAGGATTTAAAAGATTGATTATGGAAACAAAACAAAAAAATTAATTCTCAAAATATGAGAAACCAGGTTTGTCTTGGTGTTCAATTCATCATATTCCTGTTTTTTCATAATCCTCTTCCTCTTCAATTTCATCATAAATTAAATCATCATTTATCTTATGAGGTTTATAAAGTATATTGCAAATACAAAAATGGATTGTATGTGTGAGACAACATATGTGAATGGGACTGGTCTTTTTTCTGAATTTCATCATAACACTTGCACCATCAGCTATTGTTGTTACAATGTCGTTGTATAAATCCAACTTGAATTTAGGCAATTTTAACTTAACAAGTTAAATAGCTTTTTCAGTGTTCATGCTTCCATTGACATGGATCATTCCAAGTGTTTGAAAACCACTTTAACTATGTAAGTTCAGATTTGTACTATCTTCTGTTTTGCTATACAAAAAATACTCGTGATTTTCTTTGAGAACTGATGTCTTTGAAGTTGGACATTTAGAAAAAATTTGTTTCTCTATGACATTGCATTGTGACGATGTATTGACAAATAAAGTAATTATATGTTAAATAATATTTATGTATATGTTAAAAATAATTCCATTATTTTTTATAAAAAACCAAGAAAATGGGCTATTAATAAAATGTCTTATCTAAGGGCTTTATTTTTCTAATCTATTACTAAAATTTTTTTTAGAGCTTATTAAGTCATTTAGGACTAAATTCTTATAAACAAGTTTCTTATTTAAAAAATGTTAAAAAGTTTGACAATAATATTAATAATAAATAAATAAAAATTGAAATTCACTATAATACTCATATATATATATATATATATATATATATATATATATATATATATATATATATATATATATATATATATATATATATATATATATGTATATATATATATATATATATATATATATATATATTTATATATATATATATATATATTTATATATATATATATATATATATAAATATATATATATATACATAAACATATACATATATATATATATATATATATATATATATATATATATATATATATATATATATATATATATTCATAATTATATATATGTATATATATAAGTATTATATATATATATATAAGTTGAGCATTTTACTACCAGGGACATAGTGGGGATTGAACTTGGAACTTCTGGCTTGTTAAGTGAGTGCTCTACCACTACATTACTGCTGCATAAATTATATTACTTAATTTAAATTTCTTATTTACTAAATTTATAGTTACAATATTACAATATATTTATAATAAAAGTTTTATTAATCAGGAGATCAAGATAAATGCAGTTCATAAAGTGGTTCCCACGAATTTCATTTTTTAAATCCAAGCGAAGATGCAGTTCTGAGTGCATTAATAATTCAAATACAAATGATGAAGTCAAAGAGCTTTTAAGTAATGTTTCAAATTTATCTACTCAACCATATTTTACCTTCAATCAATCTAATAATAGAAGGCTAGTAAAAAAAAATGGTGAAAGAAATGTAAGATCAAAATATGTACTCAGACATCTTTATTTAAGAGACATTTTTACAACAATTGTTGATGCTAAGTGGAAATGGCTTATTGGATTGTATACAATATTTTATTTAGGTTAGTATCGTTTTTTTGTTTACCAGTATTTTTTCTTGTTTGTATTTTTTTTGTTTGCCGGTACTTTTTCTTATTTGTATTTTTTACAAACATTTGTTTGTTTTTAGTTAGTATCCTTTATTTATTTGATTTCGGTTTTTATCCTTTATTTGTTTGCTTAGTATATATTTTTTGTTCATTAGTATATTTTATATGTTTTTTTTTAACTTCAATAGTTTACTTTTGTGTATTTTTCTGTATTGGAAATTAAATTAAGTATTAGAACTTTTACCAAAATTTTTTAAAAACATTAAAAAAGACTGAGGTATTTTGAACTTATTTTAATTTCAATATATTAGTTATATATTTGTATATTTCTTATATAAATTTACGATAGTCATGCAAGGTTTCCTAACATCAAGCAAGCAAAACAATTCAAATACATTTTAAATCAACAACATCCTGCTATACAATACACTGTTGAAGTTTGAAATGATTCTGATGAAGGCAAAAAGATTCAACTTTCTTGATATAACCATAACAAAATAGGAAAATATATGTACAAAGTATATCGAAAAGAGGCAATAACTAACATTCAGATTAAATAGCATTCAAATTACAATCTTAATCATTGTATTTAAACAGTTTTAATTTCTGTATTTAAAACATTTTTCCTCAGAGCTTACTCAATCTGTAGTAAACATCATTTGCAAAACAAAATAAGTTTTTTAACTGTTCATTGAAAATAGATAATAATAATAATAATAATAAATAATAGATAGAAAATAATAATAATAGATAGAAAAGTAATTGAGCACACATTTCACTAAAACATTCAAAAGAATCCGAAAAGTAGAATAAAGAGCAGTATTTAAATCAAAACGGTTTTAAATCAAGGTTATTTACAAAAAAACAAGAAAAATTAGGGAGGTACTAGAAATACAAAAAACATGTGCTCTACAAGAAATGTCAGGATTTATCTAGGGGCAGTATGTGAAAATTATGTTTTAGATGCCGTTTTTTAAATTTAGACAAAAAAAGTCATTTAACCACTGTCAATGTCAGTAGTAACAAATTTATATGTGCAAACAAAATTATATGTGGTTAAAAAAATATTGTAATATTTAACAAGCTAATGATGCTAGTATCTATAACCCAGCAAAAATTTCTGAAATAAAAAATTATTAGTATTAATGTTTAAAATTAAAACTTCCCACATGTTTTAAAAAATAATAATTAAAAAAACTTTCTAGTCATTATTATTGCAGATTTTTAAAAAACAATAAAACTTAATGTACTTCTGCATTATTTTGATAGTTTTAACTTTTAGACGACATTTAAATGTCACTTAACTGTTAAAGTCACTTAAATGTTGTTAAAAAAGACTTTTTTTACCCTTTTTTTACTCTTTCGACTACGATATAACAATATATATGTATATATATATATATATATATATATATATATATATATATATATATATATATATATATATATATATATATATATATATATATGGGTAGTAATATTTAGGTATGAAGAAGATTTACTATTCTAATGTTAAAAAAAAAAATTTCTGATTAAATGTGTCTAGATTAAAATGTCTATTTTAAAAGTGGACAGAATACAATAAACAATAGTATCTAAATAAACAATAGTGAAAAAAGTAATTAATCTTATAAAAACCACTTATGAAGTTTGAATGACGATTATGTTAAAAAGTTTGCATAACAATTACATATAATCACTATTTACAAATGTAGTAACTTAAGGAAAGAAAAAAAAAAGAAAATTTTATTTTTTATCAACTGACATCAAAATAACATTTTTTTTCTTTCCATCAAAAATGTAAAGAAAAAAGATGTTGCGTGTAAAAAAAGAAATCATAAGATAAAATAATTTTTTATTTATTATCTTGCAAAATCAAGAATATTTATGTAGGGGATTCTCATAACAAACAATAAAAAAAATAATTACCCAATTAAAAAATAAAAAATAATATTATTAGCTAAAAAATAGTACACTTTAAATTTTGTTTTTTATTAACTCCGCATTTGATATTTTAAATTTTTTTTGTTTGTTTGTTTTGTTATAATGATTTTATAAAAAAATATTTTTTCATTTTATCAAAAAAATCAAAAAACATTATTACAAACTTTAAACAACATCTTATAAAGAGTTTATTTTTTTATTATAAAAAAACAACTTCTTTTATGGATATAACTCTATAATTAATTTTTTTGCTTGAATTTACGCTTAAAGCAATATAGCTCTTGCTATGTCTTTGTTTATATCTATAAGTTTGATTTTGCAAAAAATAATAGTATAATAAAAAATATTTTACAATAGTTTTATATAAAAATATTATTTTTATAAGCTTTATATAAATAACAGATTGTGTGATATCAAAAAAGTAAAAACAGAAATTTCCTTATTATTAAGAAAGAATTTTGTTAAAAAAGTTATTTAAAATAAAAAATTAGTTGTTTTTTTTTTCAATTTTTCTTCCTCATCTTTTTTTACAAAAAATTAATTTCCTTTTAAACATGTTATAACCTATAACACTGCATCAAAAATATTCATAAAGCATACATTTAACTTTTTTATCTTAGCGCAAGTGAAAGTGCAAAAGTATATATTTTTTAATAAATGATACTTTGAAATCTTTGTTTGTCTCAAAAAAAAAGGGCTGGTAAAGTAACAACTTGATTTTTTTCTTTTGCAAATATTTGGTAATATTTTTTGTTTATTAATAACTTTTTAAAAGTAAAAAATCATTATTTTGCGAAGCTGCGATTTCGAGAAATAATGAAAAAATTAATTTAGTAGACTGGAAAAATTTTAATAACTTTAAAAATATTTTAATTGATAGATTGCCTGAACGAACCAAAACCCTCAGTCAATGTAGCAGTACTCCTTGCATGTTCTACCTATGTGTCAGTTGATGTATGTAAACAGTAAAGAAATAAAAATAAAAAACATTCCAGTCTGTTAAGTTGTTTTTTTTAAAAAAAAAAATTAGTAATAAATTTAAATTATGATCCTCAATTAAATTTAATGGTTTTTACATAAAGTGTATATTAATTTTAATTATTAATTTGTCATTTTTGAAGACTAAAAGAACCCTGTTTCTAAATTTTGTGCTAATCTGATGCCAGCCTAAAACAGTTTTAGGTTAGCAATTTATTTGTTTATTTATTAATTTATTAATAAGTTACATGGAACAATACACGAATTGCAAGTTCATCATTAACTAGCAAAGCTAGTTTGTATAGCAGCATTGAAGCAGCCACGGAAAATAATGTGCTATGGTAACTGTTTTAGATGGCGGTCTTAGTTTTGAACTTTTTCACTGAGGTAGTATTTACTACATTGTCTGGCAAAGCATTCCATGCGTTTGCTACACGGTTGTTAAAAAAGTTATATCGGACTTGACAGTTTTTGTTGATTTCACAATGGTACCAGATGCAAAAAGTTGTAGCTGGGGGGAATGTTAAATGGATTAACAAACCAGTTAACTAACTCGATTTTATTCTCTAATTTAAATTTTTGTTCAATCGTTTAAGTCCAATTGTTTAAGTCCAATCGTTTTGTTTGCTTGCATAGAGAAGTGAGATCAAGTTTAATACACCGTGATTTAAAATCAAAAGGCTTCATTTCTTGCGGTACTTTTGTAATACGTCGTTGAATGCGTTTAAACGCCGTTCAATTACAGAAATGTCCTTTTCTAAATAAGGACACCAAACGGTAATAGAAAATTCTAAAAGTGGGCATGTATAAGTTTTACATAGTTTTTTCATCTCTACTTATGAAGCTGTCTTTGCTCTTTTTCATCTCTGCTTATGAAGCATGATGATCTTTTCTGTCTTTTAGGATACCAAGCATTTTGTTAGCCTTGGCTGCAACAATAGATGTTTGAAAATTTTGCTTTAGATCATTGGAAATTAAAACACCAAGGTCTCTTTCTGATGAGGTTGATTCAAGTTGAATTTTGTTAGGACTGTTGTTTGAGCCACAGTTATCAATAAAGTATTGGTGTGGAACGGATTTGGATTGGTTAAAATGCATTATTTTACATTTCCTAATATTTATTTCCATAACCATTCTTGAACCCAATTAACAATGCTATCAATGTCAGCTTGCAGAAAAAGTTTTTGTTCTTCAGTGCTGACCACACTAAGGATTTTTGTGTCATCTGCATACATTTTGCAAATATTTTTGCTACTAATTTGTTCTGGTAAATCATTAATGAATGTAGTAAAAAGCATTGGACCAAGAACTGAGTCTTGAGGAACGTCACTAGTGACTTTTTCTATTCCGATGTTACATTTCCAAGTAGGACACGTTTAGTATGATTTGAAGGAAACGCTTTAATCCAGTTTAAAGTTTTACCTTCAATTCTATAGGATTTCAGCTTTTATAGCAGTCTAGTGTGAGGAACTTTGTCAAACATCTTAGCAAAATCTAGGAAGACAATGTCAACAGGAAATTTACATGATTTATTGTAGGTCAA